TTGGGGGATAAACTTTAGCGATGCTTTTTACCCCTTTAAAATATTTATAGACAGAATAGAAAATATACGTGTCTCATATTTTTGTGTCAACTACAACACAGCAAAGTTTCATTGAAATCGGCGACTGACACTTCGACAACCTTCCTTAAAAGTATAATGAAGAATAAAACCAATATTATTAGCATAGACTTTTAACAAAATATATTTTATTTTCTTTTTTGTGTCTGATAGAGTGGTAGATACCTAATATCCACAAGTATTTGTTTTCAGTAATTGCTTTCTTAAAAACGTCAATTTGATACAAATATAAAGTAATCGGTAGGTAACTAAATATCAACGCGACTTAAGAACAGAAAGATAAGATTAAATTACTTTTTGAAAGAAAGGCTTCAGAGATCGATTGGAACTTTGTACAAAGGCAATATTTTATATTTGGTAGAACGGAAAAGATTACGGAAAGCAGGATACAGCTAAACATCGAGATGAATTGATTTTAAAGACCTAGAACCGAGCTTGTGGAACGTTAAATCGTAAATTTTCTACCTACCGTTGGTAACAATATAACTAACAAACAGGAAATGAATAATTACGACTGAGTATTTTTACGTATTAAAATTGACTAGAAAGTTTCTAATACTATTTATGTGTCGTCTTCAGTTAATAAGATATTGTTATATTTAGGAATATTCTACAATCTTATTATTTTCGACGTGGTATTTCAACATAAAAAAATATATGTATATACCAAAAAAGTACACAATACTGATTATAATTCATATAAAAAATACATCTAACAATTTTGTTAAATATATTCACTTTCTAATCCTACGAAAGTTGATATATGTTTTAGCTTTTGCTGATATGTTACCTACTGATGATTTTAAAATTATTTTTGTAAGTTTTACAATTTTCTAGAAATTATCATAAAGTTAAAATAGTCTGAATTTGCTCAACGATCATGTAACTTAAACTTAATCACTAACACTTTAATCCTAGCCTGTGAAGCATTTGATAATCCAAGTTCCGTGACTTCTTGTTGAGTTAAATCGTAGTTTCTAGCGGTTGAGATCTTAAATTCATAGAATTAATATTCAAGAAATACCTTTCGGGGCGTACAATTATTAAAATCTTGATCGAATTAAAATATCCAATTAAAACTATGTCAAAGAAAAAATGACATCAATAAAATGAAACAGTTTATTGTAACTTAGTACAATTGACTTGATTCTATTAAACAATTACAAAATTTTGCGTTTGAACATATTTCTCACATAGAATATAACAAAAAACAGCAACTGAGAGTTAAAAAAATATATAATATTTTACCAACAAGTACATTAGCACATTTATAAAAACATACTACATTTCCATCAATTTTTTCTGTAATAAAATACAAAATGTATTTATAATTTTACCCTCTAAAGTAAAATTTCATATATCTGCAACTTTGAATACAGTAATTAATTGTTAATAAGTTCATGTAGGTATAATTTTTTTTAAACAAGCTCTTAGTGACGTCATTTTATTTTTGTATTCTTCTCAGCAAACCCTTTCATTTGATACCCATATCATGGGGGTGCATAAAATATAACTGGTCCGCCATCTTTGGGAGTCCACCATATTGGATTCAGAATAACGTCACTTAGGTAACCATGCATTGTCATCCAAACTGGAGGTGTATGCAACATTTCAGCTCAATCGGTTGGGTATAAATGTTTTAAAATTCAGCTGCAAGATTTGATCCATATTAACAAGGCAAGTTAAATAAAAGCTTGTAATAAAAAGCTTGTAAAAAGTATATAAAAGAGTTCAGTTATTCTGTGGACTTCGCTGGAATAAATCAGTTTTCAGGCATTTCATCAAAGTTTTATTTTTATCATCGTTTGTAGACGCAGAAACCGCTATATCTCATCTTGTCTCTATTGCATTTTTTTATATGTTTACTTGAAAGTTTTTCGTTAAGAACCCTTTTTGTCTGAATATTATGTATATTACAGAAGCAGAAGTAGGCAAATTTACAAAAATATATAAGTTTCTATTTACATCCACCACTTTAGTTCCGTATACGAGTTTAGTTTATTACACTTGTACCAATTCAAATTTCCAACGAAAGAAAAACATTTCTCTAGAGGTACACTTTTCGATTATGTAGAAGAAATAGTTTGTTACATAAAGACAGGATATCCACGTGAACGTATGGCTATAAAAGAAAAAGACACAATGTATGCGAAGCGGAACAATGAAGTTTCCTTTGTCTGGTTTCCAGACGAAGCTCTAAAATATTAGATAATTCGTTGCATTACGAAATTGTGGGACATGTGCTAATGCTTATGTTGTAAATTTTTATGTCTTTTAAAGATATTGAACGTAAGTTAATTACAGTACTTAATTTTGTTTTTATAGATTCTCTAGCTTCTGCTACCTCATTATTATGTACAATTTTGTAAGTGAATACAAATTTTCTAGAAGTTGTGTTGAGATATTGAAATTACCAAATGACCATACATACATAAATTGTATTTAAACAATTATTAAATTAAAGTTGCAACAGCAACACACACAATAAATAAGAAATTTTGATTTCTTCCAGTTTTTTTAAGCGTGGCTAATTTGTTTTACATAATTCTTCACAACCAAGATAGATTCCAAAAATAACGTTTAACTAGCCTGTATACGTGACAGAAGAGAAGTTAACTAATTTCAATATTTTTTGAAATTTGTCCATAAAGAAGTTTAAATAAAATACGTTTAATAAATAATAAATGTTGACAAATTTTTGAGCATTTTCAGACTTTACTGATTTTAATTATTAAATGTATTCATTTTAACTAACATACATCCCAGTTTCAAAACCTCAATTTTATTTAAATCGGCAATAAATGTGATTGTTATTTACTACCTCCTAAGAATAACCAGAATAATTGCGTTACAGATAATTATTAATGAGAAAAGCTTCAATTCCAAATAAGAGGAGGCTCCTTGAAAAGCGGAACACAATCTATATTCATATTTATATACATTTAAACCATCATTATTAGCCCAGTTACTGTAGCTGAAAATATAGTAATACCTCCGAATTTTTTATAACTGTATCGATTTTTCTCAAAATTTACAATTAGGCTCATCTTACCCCCCCACTTCAACATTTATATATGCGCTAGGTGCTTTTTGTTCTTAAGGGGTGAAAACTATCCCTTATTGGAAAAAATAAAAAATACAAATTTAAGCATTTTATGTAATCAAATCTTTTTTATTTGTGCAGTATGAGTAATTTCATGTGCTATCTAACATGAAACTTAATATATCCCAAATTTTCAACCCAGAAAAACCTTTAAAAACCACCCCTTTGGAAGAAAATAATATAAAAAATTTGTTTCAACCTGAAACGTTTGAATCATGCATTTTTATCAAATTAAAATTGATTTCTTGATTGAAAAATATTTTTTATCGATTGCAACTTTTCAACCCTTGAAAAATACCCCTTCTTTCGAAAATAAAATGAAAAAATATTATTGAATGAGTAGAAACATTTTAAATGTGCATTCGTATTATATAAACATTTATTCCCTTATTATAATATAGTAGTTATAATATAGTATAGTACTGGTTTATTCGAATATACACACACTAAATACGTATATAAACCTACAAAAAAGATCTAAATGCTTGAAAATTCTTGTTTGACCTAAATTTTCCTAAAATTATCACCTATACACGTGTTTATTTTTTTGACGATAACTTTCTTACTTTTTAAGATTTTTAATCGCACAAAGGCTCATTTTGCAGGGAAATGTAAGGGCTACGTGAACTGTTGAGTTGATCTTTTTTAAGCCCTTCATTTTTAAGTTTGAAGGGTTTAAAGGGCTCGAAGAGGGTGGTTCTCTCATTCATATGATAACTTAAAATGGCGATATCTCGATTAATATTAATTTTAGAGGAATAATAAAAATAAGCAAAATCATCAGCAAAAATAAAGCTAAATTTTTTTACTCTTGTATTTCTTTCGTACACCCCTTAATTTTTAAGTTACAGCATAAAAATCGAATTTTCTTCAAAAATTTGAAAAATTTACATTTTCAAAAATTAATTTTTTTTTCGAAATCATGCTTTGTAAGTGAGCCAAAGACCCAGAACATATTCTTAGAACATAAATGAAGAAATCTGTAAATGGATTGCATTTAATTTTAATTCTGTCGCTAACGGCACTGATTTGTTTATAATTTTTTTTTAAATAAGACTATCATGTGATTTCGATCATATTTCCGTTAATTTTGATTCTAAAGGCTTTTAAAACAGCTCATTTAAAGGTTTTTCAAAGTACTTTAAAAAAGGTTCAAATAGTTTTTTTCCTAATATTTATGGTTTTGGCGTTATTTAACGTTAACTGGTTCTAATTTAGTTTTTAGCTAACATATAATAATGTTTAAAAATCCATAACTCGGTTTATATTGCAATTAGAGAAAAACAAAATAATGCCGTTAGATTTGTTTTTTATTACCTTTCTTTTTCTCCATTACAACTTTTTCGTTAAATACAATGATTTCAGAGTTATTTGCAAAAAACTGTCCGAAAACAAGCACTTTTTCAATAAAAAAATCAACATTTTCAATGACGAATTACTCGGAAAGTATTGGATTATCCAAAAAACTTTATATAACATTTGCTACTTAAAATTGACTCCTCTATCGATTCTTGTGGTTATTTTGGGCGTAAAAACTTCACCCCCAAGAAGGGGTGGGAACCACCCCTAGGCCAAAAGCACACTTTGGCACTATATAAGTTTTGTTCCTTGAGACATTCAGTCAAAATTTCACGTCAATCGGTTCAGTTATAAAGAATTCGGAGGTAAAAACCCTGAGTAACTGGACTATATGGCAATATATCATAATCATGATGTGGCGTGCTTTCAACCTTATATTTGTACCTACGTTTATAGATACATTACTTAATCATAATTTTTATTTTCACGCCTGACTAAAGTAAATTTTCTTTCTTTTCAGATACAGAATTTATATACAAAGACGAACATGGAGGAGTCACGTTGTTCGATGCAGAAAATTTGACAACAAGTACCATTATGACAAATATTACATTTGTAAGTATACAGCCATTTAGCTTCGACTGAATAAAAATTGTCTTGCTTCTTTCAGAGACAATATAAAGTGGTTGACTTTAAAATATCAAACGACCTAAGATACGTCCTCCTTATAAGTGATGTTATAAAGATTTATAAATATACCACACTGGCAAAATACCACATTTATGAGATTTCTACCAGGTAAGTACCGAAAAACGCTTATATTAGACCTTATGTCAATTTTTGGTACATTTTAACAGATCGCTTAAGAAAAATAACGCCTTCTGAAAATACAGAGAAAAGGATTTAATTAGAAGAAATGAAATTTATTCGAGCCAACTAAATCATTTATTTGCATATAGAGAACTAAATATATCTTTGGTGTTAATACGATATTTATTTGAATGCGCGCACTATATATTTATATTTAAATAACAATTTATTTGTTTTTTTATTTATTTACTGTTAAAAAAATCTTGCTGGGACAATGAAGTGTTTGTATCTAGAAATATTTCGTGGATAAATTTTAAAGTTAGGTATTTAAGTTTTATTCAATGGTGTAGTAAGCTTATTACAGCTCAGTTTTTGACAGTTATCTCTTTAAATTAATTAATTAATTAATTAGCAGGATTTAAAGAACAAATACTTACCTCTACTCTTAACTAACGCCTACACTTTCAGATGTTTCAGACTCAGTGAACTAATCGAAAAATTAAATTGTGAGTTTAATTTTAAAATGACTTTCCAAACACCAGTCACACAACATTTCCTCCATAATAATGCATATTCACACCTCACACTAAGCATGCACTATAATGGCTGATGTTATGCTACTGTACATGTTCTGTTAACAGTTCGCGGTTGCTCATTAAGTACATAGTGTAGTAATATTCAATTTGTTTCCAAAGATAAGAGTTTCTACTTGGAATAACATTATGCGTTTTAGTCATTAATATAAAAAATCCAGTTTTTCTCAATAATTAAATGTGTACAGCTGTTCATAGACCCTAACACAATCTCCAAAAAGTTGTTTGTATATATTCAATTTTTGATAACAAATTTTTTGAAAATTACGAAAAGAAATTATTAAATTTCCCCAATTATAACAACATTTCGTTAAATATTTTATGATATACAATAAACAAAAATTAAGTATACATGATCATTCAAAAAGTCATGATGAAGCAACGTTGCTTTATCTTTAATGGAACGCCCTGTATATTATTTCATACTTCAATTCTTCCTGAAATTCTAAACCAATTTCATATAGTACATCATGTACCTGAATTAATTGTTTTCAAAAATCAGTTAATTAATTTATATTATGCTCAAGTAGAATCGCGTCTTCGTTATGGTGTCTCTCACATTCTGTTTTTATTTCACAGAAGCGTATTTTGCGCAATATTGCTGGTGTACCTAGTGAACATACCTGCAGAGATATTTTTAAACAATACAAAATTTTAACTTTAAGTTCGTTATTTATATTTGATATATTTTTCTAAATTGTCAATATCAATAAGTCACCAAATTATTTGGGGCCTAAAATTTTTAACAAATTACCTTTTGAATTAAGACAAGATAAAGTATCTTTTTATCAATTTAAAGTAATGTTACAATTATATTTAGTGACCAAATGTTTTTATTCCTTGGGTGAGTTTTTTGCTTCCTAGGTTAAGTTACATTTTGTTTTTACTTTAAATATCTGCTATACGCATAAGTGACTATTGTTATACAATTTGTAATTGTCTCAAAACAAAATAAAACATCTAATCTAATCTAATCTAATCTAATCTAATCTAATCTAATCTAATCTAATATCGAAGTTTGAAAATCATTTTATAAATTACACAAAAATGTGGAGTCGATCAAGTTACCATAGAAAGTAAATGTTCCGTATGGCATTATTAGTGGACACGTCATAGGATCCTATTTTATCAACGGAAATTTGACTTCTGAACGATATTTTTTACTTTTGCAAGAACATATTATTCCAGAGCTTCTACGATTATTCCCGAACAATAACAATCCCAATTTACTGGCAGAACAAATATGGTTTCGACATGATGGGGCTCCTCTACATTTTCCCTGATAAATGGATTGAACGCAGAGGGGCAATTGAATGACCAGCTAGGTCTCCCGATATGACCCCACTTGACCTTTTTCTGTAGGGTCACACCTCTTTAGATTCACTAGAAAATTTTGTTCAGCGAAATCATTACTGTCAGCAGGTAAATGGTGAACACTTTGAGCACCTTATGAAATAGAATTCCAAAGAATATATTTGTTGTTTATTAAAACTTCTCATTTTTTATTCTGGCATAACTATTGTTTTCATAAACTTTAATATATCCAGGACATTAATTAAAAAATACATTTTTTCGTTTCTTGCATTTTTATCAACCCGATCTATTATTGTCTTTTTTTTATTTTCTGTAAAAAAAAACTAACAATAAAATTAAATCATATCCATATCCTCCATATTTTCAAAATAAATATCCATAATTTAGGGCCCTTTTTCTTTTATAAATTTGAGAGTAGTAAAAAGTTACATTCAAAGTTCGATATCTCGAAAATGGTTAATTTAGCTACATGATGTGCTGTATGAATTTTGTTTAGAATTTCGAGAATTGAAGTATGACATAATATACAAGGTGTTCTATTAAAGAAAACGCAACTTTTTCGTCATGACTTTCTGACTGATCGTGTATACGTACTTAATTTTTCTTTATTGTAATAGATATTAAAAAACACTAAAACGTGTGTGTCTTATAATTTTTCGATAGTTATCTTACTGTAGGAGGTACTCGACCGATTCCATACGCGACACATTATAGACCAGTGCTTAAGCCTTCAAAAATGGTAAAAAGTGAAAAAAAAAATATAGTAGGATGAAACCCATTGGAAAAGGAAGAGAATATAACAGAAATGAAAAGAAAAGTAATTTACGGGCGATCTGAGGTCGGGAAGGGGAAGGGGGTGAGTTTTTAAGGGTAAAAAACGGTTTATCTTGATTTCCGGAAAAACTACAAGTCTTATGGAAAAAAGTTAAATGGCAAAGTTGTAGGTAATAAAAAGATCTACAACTTTTGTATTTACACTTTTTTCACATAACCTCAAAATTTATGTGAAAAATTCAAATAACCAAGTTTTTGGTTTTTTATTTTTATCTTTTACAAACAAATTTTTTTTTCACGAAATTTGGTGAAAACTTACCTATTTATGTCCCAAACACGCTGTAATTTTTTTGATTTGAAATATTTATTTTTTCACCTTATTTTTACTTAATATCGAAAAAGCACCCTAATTTTCAATCGAAAATTCTCACGTCAAAATATCTGCTTTTTTAAAAACGTCGGTGGGCTTTTTCTTCGTTGAAATCTCTACTTTCTGATGGTGTAAAAAAATATATACATTACTATGGTAAGTTTTCTCAGGAAATGCAAAGAAACGAACTAGAATCCGAAAATTTTTTTCTAATCATTATGTACAATTTTGAGCTATTTATTAAAATTTACACTTTAATTACTCGAAAAACGTAAGATTCCATGTTACATTGATAAACAAAAAAATTACAAGTCGAAATATACTATTATAATTAACAACCAAATAAGTTAATAAAGTTAATATTTAATAAGACATCTACAATATTTTGAGAAAGTTGTAGAATCTTCTTTCGTTTCTTTGCATTTCCTGAGAAAACTTACCATAGTAATGTATATTTTTTTTACACCATCAGAAAGTAGAGATTTCAACGAAGAAAAAGCCCACCGACGTTTTTAAAAAAGCAGATATTTTGACGTGAGAATTTTCGATTGAAAATTAGGGTGCTTTTTCGATATTAAGTAAAAATAAGGTGAAAAAATAAATATTTCAAATCAAAAAAATTACAGCGTGTTTGGGACATAAATAGGTAAGTTTTCACCAAATTTCGTGAAAAAAAAATTTGTTTGTAAAAGATAAAAATAAAAAACCAAAAACTTGGTTATTTGAATTTTTCACATAAATTTTGAGGTTATGTGAAAAAAGTGTAAATACAAAAGTTGTAGATCTTTTTATTACCTACAACTTTGCCATTTAACTTTTTTCCATAAGACTTGTAGTTTTTCCGGAAATCAAGGGAAACCGTTTTTTACCCTTAAAAACTCACCCCCTACCCCTTCCCGACCTCAGATCGCCCGTAAATTATTTTTCCTTTCATTTCTGTTATATTCTCTTTCTTTTCCAATGGGTTTCATCCTACTATAATTTTTTTTGGTTTCAAAAATTATCGACCCTGGTCTATTATAGTAAATATTTGATATTTACAAATATCTAAAGTTTCTTTGCTTCAAGCAAGAAGTTTTCCTCAGTCATATTCCTATTTTATCGCGATTTATTTCAATATACGAGGTTCACGTTCGTTTTAAATTAAAATGCGCTAGCAGATAATCGTTTTTATGTCATGCTCATGGTAAGCAATTTTTAAAACTTCCAGTGTTATTAACTTTTTCCTAAACCAGTCTAGTTAAATCTAGGGCACGATAAATCCCGACGCATTTTGAAGGAAAAATATATCTGGCATCATAAATTACATTGCCAAGCCTCAACTACATGATCTCTACAATTCTTTCACGGCCGTCCGCCCCTTTTTTGTTCTAGCGTATCCATTCTAGTACGTTTCGGGGTAATTTGTCTTCCCCAACTTTTCTGTCTCTTCATCAACATTACATTCCTTGTCCGTTCGGGATGAATATCGTTGTGTCTGACCCTTCCGAATTGTTTCAGCCGCGGTGGCTCGGATTTCCGTTGTCAAACTTTATTCGATACATAAAAAAAAACTGTAATACATTTTTTCCTTTAGGAAATCAAAATTTTGTTTATACAGGGTGATTCACTCATAATGTCATTAATTTTAAGAGCAGATAGAGAAAAATGAGTATAATACGATGGCGAGATTAAAAAAAAATTAAATTCATATTTAAGCTGAAAAAAATATTTTCAAATCATTATTTAACCCCCTTTTCAGGCTGTTACTGACCGGCTGACGTCAGCCGGCTACGATATGAACAAGGCGCCCCAGATGCAATGTTGCCATATTTATATATTTTCGCTCATATAAAGACAATATATTAACGGCTTGCCACGTCAGCCAATAATAATTTAAAATGCTATAAATTATTTTTTATAATTATGCAATCAACATATTAAATTGTTATTGTTACCCAGCAAGAACATCGAGGAGGTCTGAGCATTCCTTGCCAAAAATCAGTTTTTATTAACATCATAGTGATAATTTTTTAATTTGCTGTAAGCCTTCTACTACAAATTTAAAGTAACGCGGCCCATTCAGATGTTCAGGTAGAAAATGCGGCCCAATTAAACGATCGCCATATACTCCTGCCCATACATTGACACCGAATCTCCTCTGAAAGCTAAACCGACGAGTAGTGTGCGGGTTTTCATCTGACCAAATGTGACTATTATGGCTGCAAAGAAATTAGCTCTGTTTCACTTTAAATAAAATTTAATATTGAAGTTACAAAACTCCAAGAGTTCAAGTAATTTAAATTTCATTTCACAACCATTTCAATTTCATTACAAAAATAATGACATAAAAAACCAACACTCACTAGATAAATTATAAAGAGAGGGTGAAATGTATGTAGTATTTAAATATTGACTGTAAGTAATAGAAGATAAAAAAACAATCGGACGGAGACAAATAAACAACTCGGTACGTGTTTCCGACCTAGGCTAACCTGTGTCGAGGTCAATAACCTTCTAATTTGCACGTGCACTTTAGTCTAGGAGCCAGACAGGGTTCCGTTGCCAACCAGAGTGCCACGGCTGCAAACAACTTATTCTAAAGTATTTTGACCTCCTGAATCCAAAAAACTTGGTCGCAAAGCCTGAAAGTGGTCAGTTTAATTGTTATCAACAAATTAAATGTTTAAATGGCTGTAAAAAGTTTATTTTTATAGCTAGTACACGGAACCTGATCTGGCTCCTAGACTAATACGAACTGTAGTAGGATCGTATTCCATGCAAAGTAGAGCAAAAAGTTGTCGGTCTTTTATCAAAGAAAAATCGTGTCATCAAATTGAATGTAACGAATAGGGATGATTGTTTTCGAATGTACGGTTATTACAATTTATCATTTTTAATATTATTAACGTTTTCACGTTTTATAATTTATTATGTTAAATAATACACCGTTTTAGTATTTCAATTTATTATTCAATATGCAGTTGCGTATAACCAAACTTTACATAATAAATGTAAACTTTAGTGTAAATCTAAACTTTGGTGTAATCTAGGTAGGTACTTATTGTTTTTGAGAAAGCAATACTTATGTTTTTTGCCTGTTTAAAATGCCAGCACGAGTAAAACAGCATTCATCCGTCCAGAGTACTTTGTTAATAAAGTTCTGCCTGCTGCACTTCGATTTAGGAACCAATTGCAAAATTCAAGACGATTGGGGAAATCAGCTGCTTCTAAAGCTTGAACTATTTGAAAATGTGTTATGTTAACTCCTCCTTTGCGGGAAAAATGCGGGAGATATGGAGGGTGGTAGATTTGAATAAATGCTTTAAATAGATAGGTAATGGTTTTGTAACCGTGTGTAGTGTATTTTGTATATTCGGGTATTTAGTGTGCCGACTTTTTTTATTTGATAAAATACGGTGTGCCTACCAATCTCTGCTTTATTTATTTTGTTTTAACGGAAGTTGACCTCGAGAAGTCAGGCTTCTTAAAACATTTTGCAAACAGTTAATACAATTATTAAAATTAGTTACATTAAAATGCAGCATTTTATTGGTTTCGTACATATGTATCCGTATACTAAAGCGGATTAATTAAATGTGAACCACAGTTATGATGTGAACTTGGCAACGCTGTTCGCTTCACCTGACGATTTGTTCATGACATTACGTTACAAAATTTTCGGAGCACTCGGGCATTTGGCAGGGCCGCCCTCTTAGCGGAAGTTATGGGTTGATTTCCTTCAATTTTAAAAGTCGAGTAAAAAAAAATGTTTTCCGATTTTCTGTATTTATTAAGCCTTCCGAATACGTGGTTAAAATTAATGACATTATGACTGAATCACCCTGTATATTCATTAAGAACGTACCAACATCCCGTACTGTGATGTGAGGTGTCATGTGATAATGCGATTCTTTATCGACTCCAGTAATGTTCAATATGTTGGGACTTTTTTAAAATAAGGTCTGTAGTTATTAATTTTTTTTTAACTTTTTGCGTCATATGCTCTAATAAAACAACAATTACCCTTAAAAAATAATTTCCAACTTAATAAACACCCTGCATTATACCTGCGAATGAAATCATCAAACAATTTTTTTGTGCGGTTGGAAAAAATTGTGCTTGTATGAAATTGAAACCGTTTGCGAATATCTGGGAAACGAAATAATTGGCTTACGGATTTCAGAACGGTAAATTAAAAATTAAATAAACGCTTCCGAGATTCCCTTTTTACGACCCGCAGCATGTATTACAACAGGAAATTATTTTTTATTACAAATTTCGGATCGGCAAAAAAATGTTTTGTGAAAGCAAAACTGGGTGGATTTTCTCCTTTAAAATTAACAATTCTTTTGGCGTAGATCGTAGAATAATTCTTAAAAATGTATGTATTATTTAGTGGTATTTTTTTATCAGTTTTTCTTCACTTTGACGTTTTTCATTATAATAATAATTCATAATAACATTTCATTATGAACATAAAATTTTATGAACAATGTTATAATTAGGAAAATATCTCAAATAAGTATTTCGAAACACGTAAATTAATAAAATTTGGACTGATGACTTACTAAATAGAGGTAAAAATCAATCAGTTAGTATACAGGGTGTTCCAGAATATGTGGGCAATCTCTTGGATCTATACAGGGAACGTTAAAATAAGATTACAAGTCTCTATAAATATTTTCCATTTTTTTAAATAACTTTTAAAACACTTTGTGTATTATTTTTCAATACGATGGACAACAGATAAGAGCGATGAAAACAATTTGGCTGATTTTACACCCGATAGGCACAAAAATAATATTTTAAAACCGATGAAATTTTCATTCTTTCTGTGCCTATCAAAAAATGCCACGTTTATTTACATTTGTTATTTCCTGTAAATTATTAAATTACACAAGTAAGTAAGGATTTTAAATGTTATTAAAAAAAATCGATTTTTCGAAGACACCGATTGTATTTCAAAGAAAAAATATGTCTGATCTTTTTGTAAAACCAGTTCTTTTTTCATCTAAAACATTCGCACAGGTGTTTAAATATAAAGTATTAGTTTCACAAAAATATACACATATGTTATAGGAATTTTTATAGAGATTTAAAGGAATTTTATATTTTAAATTCAATTCTAAGTACAAAGTAATTTTCGATAATTAAGTTGAGACAATTTAATTGTGTATTATACTATCCCTCAGAAAATTGAATATTTTACGCCAATTAATTTTTTTTGGATTTTTAATAATTACGATTGATTAAAAATTATATTTATTTATCTTTTTTAGTGAAATTAATATATATTTTTTTCGATTTATGCAACTGTTTCATACATTTATTTTAAACAAAAAAAAAAACAATATTTTGGAATAAAATGGTATGTAGAAATACAGTTAAAGATCAAATGATTGTGGAGATTTCTATTAAAATGTTTTTTTGGAATATTTCAAAAAGAAGGTTTTTTTGTTAAAAGAGGAAAAAAATTGTCTTACTGGGAAAACATACAGGATGTCCCACAATTAAGGACAAATTTTAATTTTTATTCCTTACGTAGAAATGAGCAAATCGGTTTATATACATAGATTCAATTAAAAAATCTATATTTTTAACATTTGAAGGACATGTAATATTCATATAATTTTTCAATGTAATACCTACGTTTAGTACATAAAAAATTTTGATATAATTCCGAATTTCGGTCAATCAGAGAGTAATTTCATAATAATATCTCTACTCCTCATTCTAACTACGAGAATTAGCCCAGAAGTCGGAGACTTGTGCGGGAGAGGAGGCGGCATATTTTTATTAAGCAGGCCGCATTTGCGCCTGTAATAATGTCTAAGATCTTTTTTAATATATTACGCATACCTGGTTAAAGTAACACTTTTAGGGAAAAAAATACTCTTTCAAATATTCGTATTTTCATCGGATTTGGAGTAATCTGCATGATACTATTATTTATTCTTCTGCGACAGGAACTAGAGGTTTTCAAAAGAATGTTTATTAGGTACTAGGTTATTGTATAAAAAAAATAAATCTTAACGAAGCCGAGTTACAAAACTAATAATAAATAAACGTAAATTAAACAGAAAAATATGTACTTAAACAAAGTTTAACATTGTTATAGCACGAATAAATAACAAAATAATAAAATTTTGAAAGTTACTTTAACAAAGATACAAACGAAATTAGTAATAATACTAATTTTCAAATGTAATTTACTAAAAATATACCTACGAAAATATTAAAATTTCACGAGAACAATTTTAAACAAACAATTTATATACCACAATACATTACATTTAACATTTAAATAATATACATAAATATTTCAACAAACGTCATAGATGCAGAAGTTATGCTTCACAAAATGGACAAACTCAAATGTAGAATTACTAGCACAGTTTTTGTAAGTATTGTCTTATAAAATTTTATGAAGCTATAATTAATTCTTGAATGTTTAAAATTGGTTTTATTTCAAAGACTTTGAAGGCCCATACCTCGTAAACGATGCTTTTCCAGATTATATAAACTACTTTGATTTTTTAAATTGTTTTAACATATTATACATTTTTTAACTAAACACAAATTTTATACACATCCAAATCCATTAATGGCATTATTTTATTCCTCAGGCTAAGAAAGCCACTATCACCAAACGAACTGGACGAGAACGCCCCTTACTTGCAGTACGCCACGTGGTCACCAGATGGCTCCGCAGTCGCGTTCGTATACAACAATGACATCTACTACAAACCCAAGGTGGAAAAGGATCTAGTGTGCAGGATAACTAGCACCGGCCAGCCTGGCATCGTGTACAACGGCGCTCCTGATTGGCTGTACGAGAACAAAATCCTGAAGACGTCCCACGCCGTTTGGTTCTCTCCGGATGGGCTGTATTTGCTTTACATAACCTTCAACGATACCAACGTGGGGGAGTACAAATATCCTTGGTACGATAGCAACAATTCCCAGCAAGCGACGTATCCGAAGATTAAGTCGTTTCGATATCCCAGGGTAAGTAGGTAACATAAATTATTTTGTTAATATCTTTGTTGTTTTCTTTTTTTTTCTAATATGCTATTTTACTAAATTCAAAACATCGTCACTCCACTATACAGTAATGTCACTGTTAATAAAAAACAGATTGACAGAAAATTGTTTATTTATATATTGGAAACATTGTTACATAATTATATTAGTACAATTATTTAAATTTGAAAAGTTAACAACACGAAATTTATTCAGTGCTACTTGTTCTTCCTAAAAACTATTATGATTCTCTATTTACATTCCGGAATGATCTTAAGGTGCCACTAGTTCTTGCTGATGGAATATATTTTTTTTAATTTTCAAGTTATTGACGATGCTTTCCTCGATATACCCTTCAGCCACACTAGCTGACTGCCATCCTCCATGTCTTTTAAATGTTTGAATATCAGCCTCACTGTCATCGAGGAAGGTGGCAGGCGTCCTCCTCAAGCAATGGCCAGTGTAACTTAATGTATCTGGGAGTTCTAAGTATCCTGCAACTCTTTGGGGAATTTTTGCAAAACTGTTTATGCCAACTGGGTGTACTGTTCACTTACCTGCTATAATTATAGTAAATCAAAAATCTATTCAGTTTTACTTGTTTGGGTCTCAATTATAAATACTGATAAATATGATAAATTTTATATCCGTTGCTACGGTAAATACATGTTTCTTTTTGGTTTTGGTATCATCGAGGGTATCATATAAATTTATAAGCAAAAGCAAATTAAAAATATGTGTATATATAAATAATGAAAGAGTTATAAAAAGAGAAAATTATACAAACAATTACACAGGCACACAAAAAAATATGTCCAGTGAATGAAAAACAAACAACATATTAATATAAATTTTGACAAACAAAAAGGGGAATTAAAACAAATAGAATTCATATATGAGAGCAATATTGGTGCGAGATCTAGCGTTTAGATTGGGAACGATAATAATTAACAACAGTCTAATCAATACTGTGGTTTACAATTTTATATAACAATATTAGGTAGAGATCTTTTAATATCTCATGAGCCGCGAAATGCGCGAAAGGCGTGGCATATCCCCATAATTCTTCTAATAAGCACGTTGTGGAAACATTAGACCACGTGCCTCATCACAACTAGAAATGAGCTAAGGCGCTCGGGCATCAATAAAGTCAACTGGCGAACGTTCGTTATATATATTTTTATTGTTTAAATTAAAATTATAAAGAATAGGGCATTTTATTATGATATTTGTAATCGGATCAAAGGCTTGTTTACGCTAGAGCTCGAGAGAGACTGTGAATAATAGGTGCAATGTTTTTAGGATGTAGAATAATTTAGGCGACGGTCGGAATTATGTTTCTGCGCATATGAAGGTCAAAGCTCATAAGATTTTAAAACATCTCTACAGGCATTATTTCTTCTCCTTAAGGCTATTCCTCTGAAATCAGTCTAAAAATAAGAATCTTGAGTTGGATTCTTAGACTTTTTCTATCTTCTGTAATTACATAATAATAAGGAAATCAAACTACAGAGGCACTCAAACTTCGGTCTAACAAAATTTCTCTATAAGATACGTAGAGTGGAAATATTATTGAAATTGTTACTATTATCCACAATAAAACTGAAATTTTCAAGCCCCTCATTTAGCAATATGTACAAAAAATATTAATTTTACATCAAATATAGCATATATACAGTGCTATTTTTTTTTAACCTGACATAGGCTAACTTTTTTATTTAAAATGATAGACTAGTACTTCCAAATACAAAGTTGTAGGAAATAATTAGATTAACAAAAATTGTGCTGTTTTAATGAAGCCATCATTATTGTACTGTCATTGTGTTATTTGACAGCTGTTCTATTTGAATGTGTATAAAAATAACGTTTTAATTCAGTTGCTAAGATGAACCAGTTCCACAATCAGTCTACAAGAGAAAGTTGAATTAACTTTTAATTCCACGCAAGACATCCCGATACGCCTCTTCCAAATCCGGAGTTTTTTAAAAATAACTTACAATTAGTAGAACTAAAAACAACTGGTAGTGTGTGCCCAAGGATATGCAAACGGCTGAAAATCGTATTCGCAACTTAATTATAGCGTTATTTTTATACATATTCAAATACAAAAGCTGTCAAATGCCACAATGACAGCACAGTAATGATGGTTCCTTTCAAATAACACAATTTTTGTTCAATATGCAAGGCCTACTATTGCTATGTTAGCTTCTTTTAGTTCCTGCCGACTGCAGATTATTTTCGTTGTTTTTGTTGATTGTTCTAAAACCGCTACTCCAATAAAGAAATGTGACATAACATTTTATATTTAGAATTTCTTGGTTTGGCAAATTATGTTAAAAATATACGGTGTTGCCATTTAAATTTAAAAGTATCCTTTTAGTAGCTACTGCAGAAATCTGGCAACACCGGAAAAAAATATTTGTAAATTTTGTTATTTATTACCTATTTAGTTATTTCCTACAACTTTGCACTTGGAAGTACTAGTCTATTAGTTCAACTAAGAAAGTTGGTCTATGTCAGGTTTTAAAAAAATACCACTGTATAGTTGCCACAATCATTCTCTTAACACATGGTCACCAGTGTGTAGAGACAGTGATATAGAGTTGACATTAGTGTAGATTTTCAAATCATCAGGAAACTGTGACATTAAAATTATTCACGATATAATTGACGAAAAGAACAATGGGCCAAATGTCGAATCCTGAAGCACATCTAACATTCAATGAAATATATTAGATTTGTATCCAATTGTAAAAATTGAAAGCGATGGGAAAGATATAATTATCTCGACTTCAAATAAAAAAAATAGTGAAATTAAAAATATTGTCCATGAGTGTAAATCACAATAAAACGAAATACATTTTTAGAATGTGAATTAATAACTTATGTTACCAACAATTTTGCAAGAAGGCTCAGAACTGTTACAGGGGTCCAAACAGCATTTACGCAAAAACTTTACTGTTTAGAATATAAACATTGGGGGTGGTTTACCACGGAAGAGTTTCATGCTTTGGCTATTTGTAACAGAGAACTCGCACCCGTATACATCTTATTTGAATTTTCCCTCTTTGTGTACATACGGTTTAATACTTAATTCCGTATCATCTATTAAGTAGGTCAGTAACAGCAAAGCGATCGATATTTCTATGCGATGATAGCTCTAACTTACCAATTCTTAACGGTTTAATAATTAATTCTCCAGTGTATTCCAATCTTTCAACCATTCAATCGTTCCATATTTTGAAGTGACCTCCAAGTTTTTCAATAACCAGAGAATTGTATTTAGGTACAATTTATAGAGGTATTGTTTATTTAAGAAAATATTTATATGATTTTTTATATGGATGTCGAAGTGATAGTGATACCTTCCCACTACCATATTGATATCTTACAGTTGTTTAAACGAATTCATTTATTGTTATTTATTTTTTACAATTATTCAGAACCATGGATACCAAGAACGACACTTCTTCATATGTGGCAGAACTGAAACTAAGAGATCAATATCAATAAAATTCAATAGAACTGCAATAAAAGTGAAACATTTTTTTGCACAAAATGGAGAACCTGAATAATATTGTAATTGTTTACAAGACATTCTTTCCCGCATTGTATATGCAATCCAATAATATATTCTTCTTGAGTATATAGTAAATATATTTGGTATACAGATGCATGTCAGGGGCTTTATTTCTTCATTTACAGGGTGTGCCATTTATCAGTCCCGCTGCCAATATCTCGGAAATTAAGAAATTGATTTTAGTTTCGAAAATTGTGGTTGTTAGATCCCTCGAATAGCTTCAAATTGTAGTTAGAATTGTTAGTTCAAATCTTTCTGTAGAGATGGCGTGGCGATATTAAACATTTTTTGTTCCCTAGAACGTGGAATAGTCCATCTGAAAGACCGTTAAATTTTGAGTAATTTTTGTAATATAATTTTTTTCCCTAAATTTACTTGTTTTCGAGATATGTCGACTTTAATATGCAAGGAATGTTATAACAGGAAAATCTATTATTTTATTTAAATCACACTGACAAAAATATTCTTTTAAAATATTGTTATAATGACTTTATTCACATCACATACTAACTAACAAACAATAAATTATAAAAATAACGAATGATCAACTACAGAAAAAAAGTACAATGGTAAATCTTATAAAGGTCAGAGACGAACCGTATTTTATCAAATTTTATTAAAAATTGCAGTCATAGGTGGCTCATGTCATTTGTTTAAAATAAAACAATGACAGATGACACATTAGTTTTCCAATAATTCCAGTTTTCTCAGTTTGCATCTTTCAGTTTAACTATACTACTCATACGATTTACCATTGTACATTTTTTTTTCTGTAGTTGATCATTTGTTTTGTTATAATTTATTATTTATTAGTTAGTATGTGGTATTAATAAAGTCATTATAACAATATTTTAAAAGAATATATTGTCTCGGTGTGATTTAGTTAAAATAATAGATTTTCCTGTTATATCATACATTGCATATTGAAGTCGACATATCTCGAAAACAAGTAAATGTAGGGAAAAACTTTATATTACAAAAATTACTCAAAATCTAACTATCTTTCAGATGGACAGTATTTCTACGTTCCAGGGAACGAAAAATTTTTTAGTAACGCCACGCCATCTATACAGAAATATTTGAACTAACAATTCTAACTACAATTTGAAGCTATTCGAGGGATCTAACAACCCCAATTTCCGAAACTAAAATAAATGTCTTCATTTCGGAGATATTGGCAGCGGGAGTGATAAATGGCACACCCTGTATATAAAAACACCAACTGACTTTTACATTCTACCTTTATAAAAAAAATTATAAAGAAATTATACGAACGCTACAGATACCATCAATACACATAGGTACTCCTTCATATCATATGCATATAATAATCTTAAAATCTTTTATACAGGGTGTTAATAAACTTATGTAAAAAATTTAAAGGGGGTGAAAAAGGGGCAAAAAC